TTAACACTTTTTTAAGTGTTACAGTGATATTTCGTTGGCCTCCGTATTAGCGCATTGCGCCGAACGCGGATAGCATGATGTTATAGTTGCAAGGGAGCAATTGATTCGAATAGACGTATTGTACCGTACCGCATCATATTTCAAACTTTTATATCATTAGAATTTATATGTATACATATGTATATTCATATAAACATGCGTCAGTTAATATAAGCTTCATTTCATCGAATTGTCTTAAATATAACTGCATAAACAGTGTACAATCTTATACTAATTATAGTTGTCTGGTTCAACAGGTTTCTACAGAAACTAACTACTGCCTACGTCTTTTAAACTTGGGCTGTAGTAGTATCTGCAGAAACTGCCATGGGTGCTGGGGTTATTATCTAATTTCTTCACGGGAACACGCACAAGCGTCAGTCCCAATTCGACAGTTGCACGAGCAACATTCGACCGAGCTCGCGAGTTGTACGAGCAACAGCGATAAAGGATCACGTTTCAAATGGTTACTGACGCAAGCCATTTTAGTACCGTTCATTGTCCCGTAATCCACATGTAATAACAACAGATCGAATCCGGCAAAGGACTACTGCAAATTATTACACACGTCTATCGTATACCACCGGTAATCAAAATTTCGGCGACAAACTTATGAAACCTTTATGAAGTTTTGAAGACTGTACGGAAAACTTGCAAGTGACAGAGGAGGGAATTATTTGCGGCATATAAGTTACAATATTTTATAAGCCTGAATAATATCTAAGTCTACTTTTTCCGAATTTATATAAATATCATTACAAGTATACTGTAGAATCATATAGATAAGTAGGATTCAAGTAAAATAAGTATCTAAGGGCACTTTTATTGAATCTATACAAATATTATTATAAATATATTGTAAAATCATATATGTAAGTAGTACTTAAGGCAATTGTTGTTAAATTTATAGAAATACTATTGTAAATTGTATATTTTCGTACGATTTTTTCAATAAAAAACAGTTAAACCATACATATGCATTATTCATTAATCCCGGCACTATCTCCACTCCTATTCCTAGGGTTTCTTGAAGTTTTGCAAGAAGTTCTGGGAATTAGTTCCACTTTTCGCCACCAACTGATGGGGGCGCCACAAATGTACAAGTTTTTCCGCCATCTTGGATTTTGAAAAAGCGCGGGAAAAATTGGGATTCATGGGACATACTAGTGGCGCCCCCAAGAAAATGGGTGGCGAAAGTTGGGACTAAATCCAGAACTTTTCGATAGTTCGCGCAATCACCACCAGATGGCGCTGCTTAAAAAGTTTTAGAATTAGTGTGTCAGAGTGTCAGACAGTGTCAGACTTGCAATTGAGAATCGAGAATCGAGTGCCGTTCGGGGAAGACACGGAGGTAATTGAAAGGTGTTACAGCATGATTTCAATTGATCTTCAGCAACGTTGATTGTCATCGATTGATAAGAGAGTGACCGTTATCAAAATCGAAAGATTTATGTTTGAGACACTAAAATCGCGCGTAACAGTGACGTCGAGCAATGATAACGATATCTCACGTTGTTATAGTCGTAGACTGTGTTTAAGTTACTCGATCGTCGAGCCCGTATTAGATTCCCGTAAATTCATCAATGGACTGTGAATAGAGAACCACGATGCACCCTCGAGATATCGTGTCTAGATATCGTTTTTGAATAGATAATAATTCTCGAAATTCGGTGTGATGATTCTCAAAGTGTCAGATGGTTCGTTTCGGATGCCAAAGTTTCTGATCGACAAGATCCTGATTTATTGACACAGGCGAGGAAAAAGCGAAAATGACTGAAAGTTTAATAAATGAATGGCTGACGGACTGTGCAGATGTCTCGCCTTCGGAACTTCACACCTTTGCTACCACATTGTTGCAAGACAATGAGATAGTCAGAGCACTTTATGTGCTTTTGGAAGAACGTAGTAAATATAGTCAGGTAATACACTGTTCACAAATGTTTCTTGAATTCGTGTGGTAAAGTATAAATCAAAATTTTACATCTGCTACCCTGAGATGTAACAATTTTTTTTTTCTCATTACAAAAATTGATGTCTTTAAAGAGTGTTCTAGAAGTGTTGTTTCTGTTATATTGACATTTGTTATTATTGTTAAATGTACGTAGCATAAAAGTGTGAGAAAAACCCGTTCGAGACTAATGACTCAGCATACGACTCTTACAATATCATATTTGGTTAGCCATTGACTCAGTATTTCAGTTACTTAAACATTGTATGTAAACATTGCCAGCTGCTGGAGTTGGTCTTGTAACGATACATTGGTCTCAAATGTGTTGAGTCAGTTATACAAATATTTTTAATAAAAACTATTTACTATATTTAAGTGACAATTATTTAAAGATACCAAGTACATGGATACTTTTGTCAAAATTAATAATATGTATTCTTAAATTGCATTCCATTTATTTATAAACAACTTTTTGTTCATTGTAGTTGGTGGATACAGTATGCGATCAGTTATACAATTTCTACCGTTCCCAGGATACAGAATTGCAGAGGTTCACCTTGCAGTTTTTGCCCACATTAGTATATATTTATTTAAATTCTGCAGCTCATGGTGATATTAAGGTGAGGCTATGTAATTAAAAGAAAAAAAGAGTGATAATTAAGCATGTGCCTCATTAACGTTGTAAGGTTTTTGAAGTAAAAACTAGTGTTATGTAACAAAGGTGAACTATAATTCAAGTTACAATCATATGGAAGAACAGCCATATTATTTAATTAATTGTAGAACAGGTATACATATTCAGTGAAACACAATTTACAATCTTATTCGAAGGAACATTAATGTAATAGTAATTTCAAAGATAAACATATTGAATACATATGTATGTTTCACATAATGTGTAATTATTTTTAAAAACATAACACCCAAAGAAGTAATTTAATTATAATGTATGTGTCTTGTATTTGCATACGGATTGTTTTATAGAGTATATAGTTATGATATATCTATGCAAAATAAATTATGCACATAATTTATTTTGAACCTTTGATTTTATGCTTAGCTCATAATGTATTCTGTTTTACAGAACTGTCGATCTGTAGAAACGTTATTGATTGGTTTGTATAATCTAGAAATAGTGGACAAATCAGGACAGCAAAAAGCAATTTCTTTTAGGGTACCATCGCTTGCCATGCTTTCGATATATCATGAGGTATGTATTTTCCTTTAAATTATTATCGATATCATTTGTTCGTAACGATAAGTGTTTCCGTTTCATGTAGCCGGCAAGCTTAGCACCCGCTTCTTTGACGGAGAGCGCAGTTCGTAGATTTGAAGAGTGTAATACGAAATTAGTTAGCTGGGGACCGTTGCAGCAAGTAGAAACGTTGAATGCGCAGAACAGATTGAAAGTGATGACTGCTCTTCTGTTTATTTACAATCAACAACTTGGCTACATAAGTAAATTCGCATTGGAACAATTATGCAAAGTCGCCACTAAGTAAGACGAAGTTTGCCATTGTCGCGTATCGAATGAAAGCCTTGCAATTCACTTGACAAAATATTACAGACTCGTCACTCAAGGATTCATGAAACCAGGACATCATCAAAGATCATCGTACGGAAGCGAGTCTAGTTTCGTTCCACGATTGTTACCTCGTATACCTGTGTCCGGTCAATTTCTCCTTGAATTCTTACATGCTGTATATTTTGCTATGTGCGTGACATATTATTTTTCAATTCATATAATTAACTAGTGCTCAGTTTCTGAATGGAAATGGAAAGAAAATTTTTATAAAGTTTCCCTTAAATACATAACAAAGATGATAGTATTAAAATTTTCATACATGATAATATATGTTTCGCAGGTATAATGACTGCTTGTACTTAGGTACACAAGCAGTGGAAGATATTCACAATCGAGCATGTTACGAAGCATATCCAGATGTCATGCTAGTTACAAACGCTATACGCAATTCTGCCAGTTCCGGACCATCAGGTATACAACCTGTTGATTAGGATTTTACACTGGTTCGTAATAAGAAGCATTGAACATAACAAAACAATTTTTTTCTATATTTTAGGTCAACTTAGCGATGGACCAATCGGTGTTAGTGTTGCATTGTCACCAAGTGCAACTGCAACAGTATCTAAGTCCATGATCACAAATGCTTCTTTTCGAACGAAAAAATTACCAGGTATGTTTTTAAAATTTAAAATTATCGTCTACTAACAATTATCATAAATAACCATTTCGACGAAATTACGAATCCCAGATGTATCAGTAATGTCTGTTTTGTTTTTTTGTACAGAGTGATTCTCTCGCTAGGGGACCCAAAGAGGGTATCCGTTGCATTGTTTTTATTTCACAGATATGATATAGAAGCCATATTCGCGTATAGACATAGAGGCCCTTTAATGCTGCGACGTTGACAGACCGGGCGATTACCACGCAGATGTCGCCGGCTATTCCGTTTGGGTCCTCTAGCGAGAGAATCAACCGTGTACAATATACACAATATACAGAGTCTAGTTTTTGTTAATTTATTTATGACTACTGAGCATGTTGTCAATGTTACCATATTGTATAGCCGAACATCTGTTGGTCTGGGTTAGGTATGCACTGAATTAGAATACGATGTGAAGAAGAGTAAGAATTACAGATTGCAAAAGTTTTACTTCGATCGTTACGAAATTCGTGTGTATTCGGAATCGTAAGTGCATGTACAACAGTGTGTATTACATTGTACGACTCGTTTCGCATGCAGAACCGTGTATTTGTAAATATATATATTTTAGTTTGTGTCTAGGATTTAGCGTAGATCGGAATCGTTAGATGTGTACACGGATTAAACAAAGTTCTTTGTGTTTATATGATTAAAACGGCGTTTTTCGTACGATTACTTCACATCGTGGAAAGTGTGCGTTTGAAACACAGGGAAACAGAACAGCTACGTTCAAGCATTTGCACGATCACGAACACATTTAACAGCCAGGTCTGGGATTTAGCGAATCTGCATTGGTTGCAAACATATGTCATTAGACGATCTGGATGAGAAGTTATTCGCGGATGAGCATGGCAGTGCTGCTCAACTCGATAGTCCGGAACAGCTGCCGGCAGAGCCAAGCGGTAGCAAGTGGTTCCATCGGCAGCCGAGGAATTCGGTTACGGCGACAAACGAAGAAGCCAGCAGAATGAAAAAAGTCAGTTCTACTTCCTCATTGGAGAGTTCTAGACGTGGAAGTGTGTGCAGTGTTCAGAGTTCGCCTAATAAATCCTCTCCCAAAAGGACCAAAGATCATTCGAAAAGAAACACGTCTGAGCACAGCGAGGATCATAACTCTAAAGCGAATCCCCGAAAGAGAAAGGAGCAAAAAGAAGTTAGTGATTTTGTTCACGGGGAAAATAAAATCGATTCTGGCTCCCGGTTGTACAGTGTGTTGGAGGAACAAGTTCTCGGAGAAATGATCCACAATTCAATGGAAAATTTATATTCGGACGGGAATAAATCGATCGGTTATCGTACGACTGCTGCTTTGTCAACGAACACATGGTATTAGTGGTTCACTTTCAGCACTTTCGGATCACTAATATTTTTTTCTTCAGTAAACACACAAAAATATTAGACATTACACCTACGTAACGTTTAATCAGTTCGATTAGACAGCGGTGTGTTGTGTATTCATTTATGAATCCGTTTCAGAAACATATCGTCATTCTTAGAAGAGACATATGCCTTGATCGCGTTACTTGTATAGTCAAACGCACATACTGGACGATTGCATGAAGTTTCGGCACGTTTCTTTGCATTCAGAACAATTGAATTTGTTATAATACAGATTCGCCGTAATCACTTTGTCTTTTCCTTTTCCGTTGACAGCATGCACATAAATAGAAACAAAAAAGACAATTGTGTGTATTTATATTTATACGAATGCTAGGTGCATACGAAACAGAGTTCGTTTGAAGTTTAATGGAATATCAGTTGCCATAAAGCAAATCTGACATTTCTATGCACCGATCGAATAGAATTTCGAGTTTTACTTTCAAATTCCAGATGCTTGACATTATTAACAATCTATTTATTGCATTACTTTTTCTTTTACACAAGATGCATAATTCTTTGTACAGTGGACTCTAACTGTATTGCCATGGCCGGGGCCGTAGGGGAGTAAACTGGCAATGAGTTGAAAACTCCCTCCATGCTAAGTTCTATCGTCATAGCCTCGGCGTCAGCGCCTGCACAAAAGTTGGTTCGTGGTGGAAGTGGTTCGAAAGTACATGTGAAGGGGGAGGTGCCTCGCGTGGCAATATATTTAGCGGCAATATAGTTAGAGTCCACTGTATTTGCTTTTTCTTCGCAGTGTTTGAATCTATACTTTGATACATAAGAAATGATATACTTCTATATATTCTTCTTTTTTTTTTGTTTACTTTTTTGTGTGTAGATGACATACCGATTCAAGTAACAAAAGAAGATTCTGGCGGAGAAGGTAAAAGTAATCTTGTGTCGATCACCGAAGAAGAAACCACAGAGTCGAACAGAGTTGGCTCGATGAGACAATCAAAGGATCAGAAAACCGGCTCGAAAATGACGAACTTCCCTGTACTCGGGAAAAAACCCAGGGAGAAAGACAGCAAAACCGCTAAGAACGTCCACGCTAGTGTCCCCGACAAAGAGAAGAAACTTGGATCTCAGACAGCGTCGAAGGAGAGTATTAAAGGTAGTTCCTCAATGTTGAACAGCGAGTCGACGGAGCTCGATGGAAATGTGGGCGGGTGTTCAAACAGGAAAAAGAACAGTAGCGTGGAGAACAATTCAGGTACGGTAGATACTAGTGTCTCGTTGATCGACGGAGACCGTCTCGCGTTGAGTGGAGACACGGATAATACCAATATGGAGACGACGATTAACTTAAGAACACACAGTGAGACGGAATCGTTGACATCGTCTACTCAGGTCAGCTCTGTTTAAATTGTAAAAGGAAATATAGATTTGTCAAGTGAAAACGAAATAGTAGTGAGCTATATACTGAATAAGAATAACGTTTTCTTTTTTCATGTTCGGTTGTATATAGTGTTTGTTTTCAATATAACAGAACCTTATGGAGTATTGATTCAGCATTTAAACAGACTTTGTGATCTGACGCAAAGAGCATTGTACTCGCAGTTCTTTCAGACATGGCTCATTACTATACGGATCTCCGTAATTAGTTGTAAAAAAAAATGAGGAAAAATCATACTGGGGAAGGGAACAATAAGTTAACAAAATTGTACGTTTTCTGTTGCTGGATGCACACGAGCGTGTATTAAAGCAGGTTCTGTGAATTGTCTTTATAACGTGTTTTGTAATAATATTAAATAGATTCATGCTTTTCTTGAATGGTTTCACTTATAATTCTTTAATGACATTAGAAATATATCGAATTCTTATGTTACAAAAGGACAAAATTAATTATTTATCCAATATATTAACCCTCTTAGTAGTCCTGAGCCGATATATTGCTATCTGGGAAACCATATGAATTGTCTCTTATTTTTTTTGCATCTCTTCTATTTGTTTAGTGAACTGTACGCATGTGTCGATAATAACATTAAACGAAGTATTAAGAAAGCTTTAATACTTTTTAAGTTACAAGTGATTTTCCGTTCCTATAAATTTAATAGGTGTGCTAAGAGGGTCAATATTTAAAAAATAAATGTCTTCAAACTGATGGAAATGTACTTATTTATTTTTCTTATAATTCATTATCAAATATTGTTGCACTTCTATTCATATTAAATATTCAGTCGTTATCATGCTTACCCCCAAAATTCTTTTGAAAACCGTAAGGTCTATATATCAGACGGAAAATCTAGCTATTAATTATACAAAGCCCATTAATTCCACAGAAAATAATTAGAGATCTCTCATATTTTCGTGAAACGTATTATTTATTATATTTTCAAATTTTCGATACTCTGCAAACAGAATGCAACACGACTGACACTTGTCCTTCGAGACAGTATAAAAAGTATATTTAGACGAATCTTGTAATTTTTCTAAAAGGTATCTTTATGCCTACCTATACGCATAGTGTTGCCTGTAAGTTATGTTTAGATGAAACTGTGTTTTTGTATGAATTTGTACACGAGGAAATGTTTTTAGCTGATGTCGCGTCTATCTTGTAACACATTCAAAATGATTTGTAACAATTTTTTTCCACAACTGTAATATTAATGGACCTAAGGTCTTTCAATTCATAGATATTTTATATTTTATTAGGCGTTTTATTTTACACGTATTTTTAACATACATTCATTTAATCTATTTTCAAATAATCGTATGAATTACTTTGAGGTATACAGAAAACTATACTCAACGACAGAATTACTTCACCATTCAGAATCAAAAATATACAGAGTAAAATATCCGAAAACCAATGTTCGTAAGTCATATAGTATTTGCACTTCTATACATATATACAGACATTATACATTTTGTTTTTAAGTAAAATTTTTCTCCTAATTACGTTTATTATTTCGTATAAAATAACTGAAACATATTTCAACATCTAATAACACCAAAAGAATTTGAAGTTACAGGAGAAAAGGAGATTTAAACTTGGAATTGGTATTTACTTGAAAAGACTGTATATTACATTATATTATTACTTAGTCTATTTAAAGAGTACTATTATGATTCTTTTAACCAATCAGAGTGTTCAACAAGGTGTTATATGAATATTAATATCAAATTAAGATGAAACATACAATCTTTCACATGAACATGTGTTTGAAGCAATTGTTTAATAACTCCTGTATCACTTTTAAAACTTCGAAATGGTAATACAATTCAGTCTACTGAATAATGTGAGAAGGCTGACACGTATCATATTCTGTAAAATCTGTACACATGTAGCTTTGTGGAATATTATCATACAGTATGAATTTGATATCCTAGCTTCATTGAAATTTTGCGAAATTTCTTAACAATTCAATCGCACTATGTTCCAATACATCGTCAAAATTGTCCCTATTCGTGTGCATTTTTATAATCGTAAATGATATATACTATGCTCTATTTATTAAAAACATACTAATATTTTGTTTATTTTATACTTCAACTTTATTATGAAAAATATGGAGAAGGTTCTACGTTTCTACTACTTACCATATGTTATTCTTTTCATTCAAGTGTCAGAAGTAACAAAACTAGATGTCCTTAACTAAACCATAAGACTTTGAAAGAGAAAGAAATAAATAAACTGAACTCTTTCTAATACTTACATTTGGTATACTAGCTAGAACAATGACAAATTTGAAACCCATAGTTTTTTATGTCATTTGAAAGTTCTATGCAGAGAATTCACTAATCTCCTTTGGAGGTACACGAGTAAAAACCGAGTGAATAGATTAATTTATTTAGAAAGGAAAAAAAGAGAAACGCCGGAATTTAGTTGTTGTATCACTGCCATATAGAGTAATTTAATCAAACGAATTGTGTCGGTGACTTAAGTTTATAGGTTTAATTATATGTATGTTATATTGTATTTGTGATATTACGTAACATGTACACGTAGTTATGTGTTTAAATTAACGAAATGTTTAACACTAACAGATTTTAAGGAGTATCGAAGAAATTAAAAAAAAATATTGTAAAATTAATAAGTTAAATGTCTATTAAACGTGTCGAGATACTTGTACAAAAGGCAGGAGAAAGGGGAATTGGTAATATGTAAGAGATGTAACATTTCATGTACATTTGGGAGTTGTTAGATTGTTTCTTGAAAAATTGCTCCCTCCTGTATAAATATTCGAATAACTCTCTTGTACACTTAGACCTTTCACATATAGATATTCCCTTTGCAAACAACAAATATTGTGTATATAGTGTATACCACATTTCAATTGCAAAAGTTAACGTACTCAGAATGTTAAGTAATAACCACAATACCTTGAGTGTTTACGCAAATTATACGATATGGTAATCCATGTATATGCCAGCATAAATACTGTACATTATTTTAGTTTGTAAACACACCCGTTGAAGCTTGTTACATTGTTAAAGTTGTCAATATGTATATAATATATGGAATTATTGCACAGATGATACCATTGAGTTCGTTAGTAATTTGCATCGCGTAATTACGGTAAAATATTTTAAACAACTTAAAAACCAGTATCAAAATAGAAATATATATATATATATATATATATAATATATATCGAAATATTCTGCTTTACCAAAAGATTCACAATCATGATTAAAACATGGTAATTGATACCGAATAACATGTACGTTTTCATGATCGTACTTCTTGTGTTTCAAGAGTTGCTATTACAAATTTGTAATGTTTTTAATGATGTCAGTTCTATAACATTGAAACCGTTAACGATTTGGAATCATGTTAAGAAGACAATTAAAAACTTGTGAAATTATAGAAAGTATAAACTAAAGCCACATTTGTACATATGGTTTTAAGAACTGATATTTTGAACGAGTGAAGGATTCCGTAAGCACAATATCAGTTGTATACTTTAAGTTAAAAAAAAAAGACTAAACTGAAATTAATTACAATATGAAGTGACAGAAAGAAAGCAGTTTGGAAATGGTTAACTCTTAATACGTGCTGTAGAAGATGAATGGAGAGTAATTATTGAAAGTCATAAATATCGAAACTACTTGGAAATATCTGTATAGTAAGGTTTAAGTACTTATATTGTTTCTTGTATAAAGGATATACATGTATTATTACTACCTTATGTATTTATTATCATTCCACGTATTAATGTTTCAGAGTTACTGAATAATACAATAAAGATAATATTTAGATAAATAGATTCAGTTAAATACACATGATTATGTAAAAATATTGTTAATATATGTAATTAAATAAGACATGAAAAATTAACTACATTTGACTTTTATTTCCTAAGTGTTTGCAACAAATTTGCTTATTTACACAATACTTATTTAAAAGTATGTATCTTCAAAATACTTTATGCAATATATATTATTTTTAGAGATCTTTCATACATATTTTTATAAATTTTTCATACATTTTAATCATTTGCATTATTACATGTGTTTACTTACGATATAAACAGAACGTCGATAATTGTGAATAATTATCTCAAACATACGTAAATATATGGAAATTTCATTCATTTAAACATATTTTCCATCGAGATTTCTCCTGTTAACATAGAGAAAATTAAAAAGAATACTATTGTTTTACTTTATTCACATACATACATTATTGTAACTTACCCTCAATTTCACTCTTATAAATATCTTGGCAAGTCTTAATAAAGGCTGACGTTTCTTCCTCTACTTTTTCAATAGCACTTTGCATTTTCTTCAGCTCTAAACAATCTTCATTGTACTGAACTTGTTCTTCTTCCAGTTTTTGTTGACATATCTTTTTATCACTGTAATTAAAATAAATGTTTATAACCATGCAAGAAGATACAAGTACTTCGTTTATTGCAATTCATTATACCTTAACAATTGCGTTTTTAAATTACGTAAAGGAATAAGGCGTTCTTCGTATTGCACGCGAAGTTCATCTACTTCGGTCTCTTTCAGTTTGTTTTTTTGAGTTTCCAGTCTCTTTTCAAATGCATTAATATCTGCTCTTACCATTTCGACCTGCTTCTTGGAACTATCTGCTTGTACGCTTACTTTCCTGAAAGCACATGCTATTAATTTTTTTCTTCTACACAACAATAACTACAGCTACAAAAATAATCGTCCAAGTACTTTAATTGTTCATGCATATCTTTCACTTCGTTGAACTCATCTAGTTGCTTCTGTATAAATGTAAAAATTCTTGTTTTCTTTTCGATTAAATTTTTTTTTTCTTGGAATGCCTCTTGCATCAAGTCACGTTGCTTGATTTTTTCAATTTGTTGTTTCTCCAATTCGTTTAGGCGCAATTCATACATTTCGGGAGACTTGACAATCTCCGATTGCAGTTCTTTTATGGTTTTGCTTAACTGGAATAACACATTATTACTTACTTCTGTAATACAAGAAATTGAAATATCTGAAACTTAAAAACTGCAGGTAACCATAACAGGATTACTGTATGACCACGATTATTTTGTACAAAGTATCCTATATTTTTAATCCTTTTCTTTTTGTGTAAACTCACATTTAAAGATTGCATTTTGTATGACTCGTAAGCTGTCAATGCCTGTTCGTTTTGTTCATCTGCCGCGGCCATTTCTGCCTGAAGTTTAACATCCTTCTTCTTATTTTTCTCTAATCTGGACCGTATTAGTTGAATCTCAGCTTCAAGCTGGAAGAAATCATAATACACAAAAGTACATAAGTAAAATGTACTAATACATTATAAAGTAATTTTATATACATTACTTTTTCCTTCAATAATAATTGCTTTGCTATATGTTCTTCTTTATATTTTCTAGCCTTTATCACTTCCTTTTTTTTCTCCAAAATATCGTGCAATATTTTTGCCTTGTTTTGTATTTCAATTATTTTGTCCCCTATGTCCGATTCCTTAGTGGTTGCATATAATATGAAATTTGAAAGGAATTTTGCTTGTTTATGTATTCTCTTTGAACCTAAATGATACAATCATTGTTTTAATAATATGAGGTTTGATGATTTCCTCTTCTGTCAATAATTTCTTGTTTGAAGAACAAGATTTGATTCTAAAGTAATACATTCTATACCATTTTTAATTTTATCAAATTGTACAATGGTAAAACTATTTTTGAGAATACATACCTGGACTAATGATATCGGTAATACATAAATCTTTTATATATATTCGTTGACATATCTGTTCCATGGCTACTTGTAAATTTATGAGACTAATTATGGCACTGTCCTCGCAGTATGACATTGCCTCTCGTTGTTCGTCTGTTGGCTACATTAGAATTTGTAAAACATTTATTAAAACACAATAACAAATCTATGTTTTCATTATAGTCAGTTGCATTAGAAATAATAAAAGAAATGTTAAAATCTTACTTCGTTAATTGTATCAACATCAATGTGAAATCTTCTTAAAAATGTATTCATTAAGTTCACAACAAACTCCTCTGTTGGATGTTTCAAATCGTTTATACTCGATGGAATGTTAGCGTCGAGTAAAATGGTATGAATCTGTTCTATATCTGTATCCATCTTTGGAAAAGAGTTAATTCTTTACACACTATTTCATCAACTTAAACCGGCAAAATTGACGTAAAGCTGCATGCGGCAGTTTGCTTTCGAACTTATTCAAATTTGTGAAGCATGAGCAGAGAGCATGTTTTAAGGCGTACTTACAATTCTTACGATAGGTATAGAATAGACCTATCATCCAATGCCTTATAATAATAATAACCCTCTTACATAATACAGATTCGGTGGGAATAAAAATATCCGATGCTTCGGTTTAAAAGATGAATATTGTAATACTGATGAAATATGATAAGTTATTCTAAATTTCATCGTTAATGAACATTTTAGTAATGTTCCGTTCCCACGTTCCCTTTTTATTCGTTTTTATATTCTTTTTATCTGATAACGTGATATAAGAATCTTAATACGCACAATCAATTACCTTCTGGCAATTGATGAGGGAGTAATTAAACAATGAACTTCGACCCAACTAGAGCTCAGCTAGTCAAGCTTTCTTCATGAAAAATAGTTTTGATCTATTATTTAACTGGTAATATCTGTTGTATTGTATTTCATAAACTTTGGCATCATTGTCAAATTGACAGGATATATTTATCATAGATGGCGTTAGAGAACCATTGGAGGATTGAAAACTTCGAGAAGACGAGAGCAAAATTAATACTTTTGATCTATTACGAAGTGGAATATCACATTTTCGGGGATAGAGTGTGTTGTGTCTCTTTGTTTCCCTTTCATGATAGTCATTCCCTCCTGAATTAATCTCGGGTGCATATAAGAAAAATGTATTGAAATATAATTCGGCGGTAAATATTCTATTTCGTTCAAATAGAACGCGGAGCGAGCAGGGAGGCGACCAATCCTCACATTCTTCATCAACCGACGCACCAATCACAGGCCTCATACATAACCGAATCAACCAATGACAGCCAGTCAGCCAGTCTAACGGTTATTCGTCTCAAGGAAGCTGGACTGATTAGACGTGAAGTGATCTCGCTCGTGGCGAAGTAAGTATTATTACTTTTCACTTTAAATTCTTTATGCTATTAGTATCTTCGTTAGCACTCTATCGTTACTTTCGTTTAATATTTATACAATTCAGTCTAAATAATCGTTTCAGTCTAATAATATTGCTGAATAAAGTGAATTGGTTTCACGATTTCTGTTCTCCCCCGGTACCAATTAGTATTTACACAGTTTTCGTTTAATTTGCAATCTTTAGCAACACTTCTCGAGTCAATAATTGTTTCGTTGTGACTCAGTCATTGTTAATTTAGTATAATTACGTGGTATTAACGTTTATTTTCTATTCCAGAATTCCGGCTAAAAAGAACGCGCCAACGATGCCAATTCCATTAGACGCAATTTGGCGGGAAATCGGTGAATTCTGGTGATGTATTACAACAAAATAGTTTATATTCCACCAGATATTTTTATTTTAGTACACTTTTACTGTTTTGATCGTAAACTTGATCGCGATTTTCTGATTAACTGTGCTGAAAGCAAACAAGAATTTTTTCGAGAAATATTTCGCGTTCAAACATGCAATTGAAGCATTCAATATGGCTTCTTTTTTGACCATTAGGAAATTTAAACGAGAATGTTCCAGAAGTTTCAATTCGAAATACTCGTAGTTTACTGGATCTCGGTCGCAAAATTGTTTAAATTTGAATAATTTTTTGAGTTCATCATTACGATGTTACCGTATTTGTATTTATATACGGTTTCGGGTGTAAGTTTAATTATACACATAGAAGCTGCGTAGTTTACGATGCTCATCGAAGCTTTAATACTTGCAACGATTTTCTCAATATTTATAAAATTTGGTACGCGATGTAGACAGAAATAACGAACATTCTTAAACTCTAACGATGAATGTCTTCAATATAATATATTAATAACAAATATATATCAGTAATGAATATAATATTTTTTAACTATGGTACCTTTGCGTAGTTAAATTCATATTTGAATATGTATCGTCGAATGACAGTATTTTCATGATAAAAACATTTGGTAGAATATAGAAATAAAAAGGATAAGCCGGTGCACGTGCGCCGTATTGTATCTCT